TTGAGCGCTTAATCGGCTGCTTGCACTGTATGCTTCCCGGGAAGCTGAGAATGTTTCGGAGTGTTCTATGGTCTGCTGGGGTAATAATATAGTGTAAAGCGCATAGAGCCTGCTGTTGAGCGGGGATATGCGCTATAAAAATGCTATCTATTATTATTGTGGCGTCGGTGGCCTAGTGGTTAGGCTCTCGGACTCGCAACCGTAAGGTCGTGGGTTCGAATCCCGTCAGGGACCCAACGTTGTGTCCTTGGGAAAGGCACTTTACACGAATTTTCCTCACTTCACCCAGGTGGGAATGGGTACCCGGCTACAGACAGCGAAAGATCTTGTCAGTTTGTTAGTGTTTGAGCGCTTAATCGGCTGCCCGCACTGTATGCTTCCCGGGAAGCTGAGAATGTTTCGGAGTGTTCTATGGTCTGCTGGGGTAATAATATAGTGTAAAGCGCATAGAGCCTGCTGTTGAGCGGGGATATGCGCTATAAAAATGCTATCTATTATTATTGTGGCGTCGGTGGCCTAGTGGTTAGGCTCTCGGACTCGCAACCGTAAGGTCGTGGGTTCGAATCCCGTCAAGGGTCCGACGTTGCGTCCTTGGGAAAGGCACTTTACACGAATTTTCCTCACTTCACCCAGGTGGGAATGGGTACCCGGCTACAGACAGCGAAAGATCTTGTCAGTTTGTTAGTGTTTGAGCGCTTAATCGGCTGCCCGCACTGTATGCTTCCCGGGAAGCTGAGAATGTTTCGGAGTGTTCTATGGTCTGCTGGGGTAATAATATAGTGTAAAGCGCATAGAGCCTGCTGTTGAGCGGGGATATGCGCTATAAAAATGCTATCTATTATTATTGTGGCGTCGGTGGCCTAGTGGTTAGGCTCTCGGACTCGCAACCGTAAGGTCGTGGGTTCGAATCCCGTCAAGGGTCCGACGTTGCGTCCTTGGGAAAGGCACTTTACACGAATTTTCCTCACTTCACCCAGGTGGGAATGGGTACCCGGCTACAGACAGCGAAAGATCTTGTCAGTTTGTTAGTGTTTGAGCGCTTAATCGGCTGCCCGCACTGTATGCTTCCCGGGAAGCTGAGAATGTTTCGGAGTGTTCTATGGTCTGCTGGGGTAATAATATAGTGTAAAGCGCATAGAGCCTGCTGCTGAGCGGGGATATGCGCTATACAAATGCTATCTATTATTATTATTATTATTATTGCCAGAGAACAATCGCTCAAATCCATACTTAGAGTACATCATATTCACCAATGCCTCCCCCCCCCCTGGCAGGGTATAGGCCACATACACACTCCTTCCATTTATCTCTATCCTTGGCCATCCTTCCCAGCTCGTTCCAAGTGAGCTTCATCTCTCTCATGTCCCTTTCCACACATATCCTCAATGTTTTCCGTGGCCTATGGTACAAGGAATAAAACGGTTTGGACATCTGTCAAAACTACCACCAGACAGTATAGCAGCCAGAGCATACATCAGCCACAGATCAGACGGACGACGACGATGACGACGATAACGACGATGGCGAGGACGGCAAGTAGGACTGAGAAGAGGGGGGCAGAGAAGAAGAAGAAGAAGAAGAAGAAGAAGAAGAAGAAGAAGAAGAAGAAGAAGGGAACATGATAATGGCAATAAAATAGGTATTATCACAGAACACCAAAACCACAACAACGGGTACCACTGTTATACCCCCACAAACTAAAAACACGGGATGATAATACTTACGTGATTGGGCAGCAGTATCTTGGTGACGCAGCACGCAAAGAAAGCGAAACAAGTGGACAGGACCAAGAGGGTCAGATAGCAGAAGGCCCAACTGTCGTGGAAGGCCTTGGAAGAACACACGTACATACTGCCGATGCCCGTGCCAAAGCCGTAGATGGTCACGCCACTGTAGTCGAGCAGGAAGAACAGATAGTGGTGCCACGGTGATTTGGAGTGGCACAGGTGAGCTGAGGAACAGAGAGTCAAGTAGGCCTACATTTCGTCGCCATCTTTCATTACTGTCGTATGCCTTAGGACGAAGTTTCCAGAAGAATAAAAAATATGTTTTATATCCCACAGGACATTATCTTAAGACATAATAAATGTTAAAATCGTCTAAATCAATTACTAATTTAATAGTGAGGATGAGACTAGGACCAATCAAATCGCCTCATCATCCTTTATACAATATACTTGATTTTCATTTTTTTCGAAAGTTTAACATACAATAGTATTGAGTGACAACGACGATAAGTTTGTGTAGCCCCCTCCCCCTCCCTCCCTTTTTCGAACTGCTTGACCAAGGACACAACATCCGTGGTCATTGTAAAGGTCACTGCGGGGTTGTTACTGCTTTGTTTTTTCAAAAAGGAGTCAGCAGGCTATTGATAATCGAAGTGTGAGGAGACACTGGGGTTGTGTGTGTGTGTGTGTGTGTGTGTGTGTGTGTGTGTGTGTGTGTGTGTGTGTGTGTGTGTGTGTGTGTGTGTTGGGTGGGGGGTAGTCTTA